ACAAGTTATCTCAGTTACTGAGCTCGGACCGGTCTCGGCTCAGTTTTTTAAGGGTAGTGTAAACGGGGTATTTGTCCCCACAAGGTAACAAACACACACACGGTCATGTTTTCCTGACTAATGGGGACATTTTATTGACTTTAAGTTTATATGGCCTAACCCAGACCATTACTATATGCCAAAGCCTTATCAACATGTACTTAAAGGTACTGTGTGCAACAATTACCAGGATTTACTGAAATACATTTACAATATTATCTATAAATACATGTCATTTATCAACTATGAACTGATCTCAATCTTTATGTTTGCCTTGCCTTGGAAATTGCTATTGTTTGGCCATAAAGCATGATAATAATTTTGGACATTGAGGACCAATCTCTATCGTACGCATTTTCAATGGGGCAGATGGTGCATTTTGCCTCTCAGTGCTGCTCTAGGACTCTGCTCTGCAACCCCCTCTTACCTCAGCTGACTCCACAGGACAGGATGGATCCCAAGATATGCTATGCTACAGTAATATGCTTTGGGCTGTTGTTATAAAGCTAGAACAAGCTTTATTCCACCACGAGTTTAAACACTAATATAATGTTAATAGCCATGTGTTTTTTTTCATATGCTTATTACATTTTTATTACAAAATTATGAACAAAAGTCATTTAATGGGAATCCTGATGTCTCATGTTTGGTAGGTCACTCAAAGAAAGCTAATGATCAGTTAAGTAAAGGTGGTTGATTTCTGATTAAGAATATAATTTAATAAAACATTTGCCAAATAATGTTTCATTCACCATTTGGATTTTCATTATAAATTGGTTTGAAAATGTTTATGTTGCTCTAAATTACTTAAAAGGTATTTTAATCACTTTCCAATTTCTTCAAGATAAATTTAAAAAACAAAATCTATGCAAAACTGTGATATCATTACATCATCTCATTAATTATGGTTTTCAACCATGTTTTCCTTCTTCTTTGTACATAGTAGCTTAGTTTAGTTACGTTTCAGTAGTATAGTCAATTGTTTTAATTGAAACATGTCTGGCTTGGAGATTCATTTTTTTTATAAACTCTTATACTCAGTACTCGAGTTGAGGGGGGATGGCATCCCCCTTCTTAAATAAATCTTTAAAATCATCCCCCTTCTTAAATGACCATCCCCTCATACTATCCCCTGTGATATTTTATCACTGAAGGTAAAAATGTCAATTATATATTAGCAGTAATGGCAGTAATATTGCCCTTTCAACATTTGGCAGGCTGTTCGCTTATGAGTAGCCTGACTAAATTACGGCGGCCCAGAAGGCTGGCGCAACCAGCGGAGCAGGTGATGGTGTTCTGAACAGCATCACAGCCAAGTGGCGAAGACCACGCAATTTGAGGGGCTTCATTTTGAAGAAGTCAAATACTAACGAATCAGGTAAGTCAAGAGTCAGAGGACATTACCTAACTTACCTTTGTCTCACCAAATATGTAGAAATCTAATCTCTGGACATAGCGATAGCATGCAAAACTAGGTAAACTAGTTTGAAGCACAAACAATTTTCTGTCTTTAAATTTGTCATGACACACGAGAATTAGCCTAGAGTGTACAGGCATTGCTGAACATTCAAAAGAGAGAGGAGAGAATCGAAGGTTTGAAAAATGTATTTAAATTAAGCAATTTAAGACACGTGTTAAGATTATTATCTTGAAAGAACTGCCAAATGTGATGTTAATGTCTGGAAAATGGTCGTAAATTAATGGAATGTTGACATCTGTCTTCCAATCAATGGTAAATAGCTTAGTTCCACAGACCTATTAAAATAGTTTTAACTCATTCATTGCCAGCATGTAGCCCAGATTACTTTAAATTAGCCAATAGACGCGATACAGATTTTATAATAAACAGTCTGTGGTGTCTGAGCCTTTTTTGGGTGCAGTTTAGGTTGTGTTCTCTCTCTCTCTCTCTCTCTCTCTCTCTCTCTCTCTCTCTATCTCTCTCTCTCTAGAGGTGGCAACTTCTTTCCCTTGTGAAAGTAATCACTTCAGCATTTGAAATTGTTAATATTAATCTTACCTGTGCTCTGTCTACCCAGGATCCAGCTCCAAACCAGTCTCCAGCTACCAAGCCACACCACCCACCTCCCTCATCTCCAGCTGTCGAAAAGAGAGCTTGCATTCCACCTAAAACTGTCCCTGCTTCCAGAGACGCCGTCCTTTCCTGTCTGCCTGTGAACCAAAATAAAATCTTTTCTCCTATCTCTTAGCCTGGCTGTCAGTATTCTGGGTCAAGCACCTAGTTCATCACACAGTCTATTTTATCAAATAAATACTCTAAATGAATATTTGAAAGGTGAGTAAAATTATTAGATTTTATATAGGCTTATTTTATTTTCAGGCTAATTCTAATGTATTTGAATTTGTAAGGAGTTTTTTTGTCAGATTTTGAAAATTATTTCAGCTGTTTCAATTTAATTGATTGAATTTGAATGAAAAAATACTTTACTTTAAAGGATTCAGGTATTCATTTGCAATGTTTTGTGATTTGTTCCAAATCTGGGCCGCTCAGTGGCACAGTGGGTAGCACTGCTGCCTTGCTTCAAGAATGTTTTGGGTTCAGTTCCCGGCCCGGGGTCTTTCTGCATGGAGTCTGCATCTTGTCCCTGAGCATGCATGGGTTTTCTCCGGTTACTCCAACTTCCTCCCACAGTCCAAAAACATGACTGTTAGGTTAGGTTGACTTGTCTAAATTCTCCTTAGGTGTGAGTGTAAATGGTTGTTTGTCTCTGTGTTGCCCTGCGATGGACTGGCGACCTGTCCAGGATGTACCCCTGATATATAAGGGTTTTATATTTTATGTTCTTTGACAATCATACAAGTTTTGTATCACAAATGAAGGAGTCTTTTAACATGTTTTTTTACACTGTGTCCATGAGCTCTGGGGAACAGATACTGGGCATAATGAGCTCTGGGGAGGGTCAGTAGCTCTTGGGAGGTAACACAGATGAAGCAGTGATTGGTACCAGGTACTGGGCATGATGTAACTTGTTTTTGTATCTGATCATTATGTAATTTTGTTTTTGGTTTTGGCTGTCCACGAGCCCTGGGTGGGTTCGGGGGATGCCGGTTGCATATTTTGGTTTCTGTAATCATGCGCTCCAGGTGTGAGAGGGAGCGGTCACTTTTCCTGATTGGGTGAAAGATTTTACTTTGAAGTGTGGCATAAATGGGGGGGGCTTGTTGACACCGGTGGGGTCTGCTAGGGTTGCGTACGGACGCCTAGCTGCGCTGGTTGCTGCCCTGCCGGGATCGACCGGCCCTCCGATCCTTGTGTCACGGTAGGGGGACAATATAAATTGTATTGAGACAATATAATTTGTATTCAGCACCGTGCCTTGATTGATGTGCTTGCTTTGCTGTTTTCTGTGGCAGAATAAAACAACACATTTTAATTCTATCAGAAACAGTTTGTGTGTTCATCTTTATTCCCGACTCATCCTGATCCTGCCTAAATTTCATAATACAACCCCGCTTTTTGCGCATTGACTGCTGGAGATAGGTACCAGCACCCCTCGCGACCCCCCCACTCGGGACAATCGTGTCAGATAATGGATGGATCTTAATGGATTAATTGCCAAAAGATTCTCCAAAGTAAAATCAAAGAAGTGGACTACCATGACAATTAAGCTGATCCCAGTGGGAAATTAGTCCCTACCTATGTAGAGGCAGTAACAGTCCAGGGACTGACTGCAGTTCTACTGTAAGGAGCCTTGGTAAAGGTCAATGACCGGCGTACCTGACATTGAACAAGCATACCCTGCAAAGTGCTTTAGGTTGATAGATTATATTAATTAGGCTGTGTATGCTTAAAAAAAAAATCCACTGTCGACTCAACTACTGCTTATACTTGAATTGATGTTGCGCTGAATTTTATTCCATATATGTGCAGAGTTATCTGTTTGATCATGATTTGAGCCCTGATTTGGAATTCCAGTTTCTCTTCTAACACACAGCCAATATGAGGTGTGTTCACAAACAATATTGGACAATCCAAATCTAAATGTGATTAAATAACACATTTATCATCCGTACTTGGGTGGGCAATGAATATGTTAAAGTTTCACAACAATTGAATGCAAGTTTAAAAAAGAAAGAAGCTTTAATAGCACCAAACCAGTGCATAATGAAATAGACTTTTGAATGGAGAGCCACAGTGTGGATCAGTATCATAGCCATGTATCTGCATTTTACTGTCGGCACAACTTTCACATCAGAAATATCAGCACCAAATTAACACATGGAGTCTTACCTAAATATCTGAAGTTTGCAGAGGGGTGTCTGCAGAAAACTACGGAGCTCCTTCACTCCAGTATCTTTCAGGTCATAGTTCCCGCTTAAGTCCAGCTCGATGAGATGTGAGGGGTTGGATATCAGAGCTGAGCCCAGAAAAGCCCAGCTGCCCCCAGACAACCTGCAGTCCATCAATCTGAATAAAGGATAAACGTGAGTTTAAGCAACTGGATAGAAGATTTTTTTTACTGGTTTACCACAAAAAAAAACATGAAATGCCTCTATACACACTAAAAAGTGTCCCAAGAAACATTTCCAAGGATTAGAAAGATGTAACCAAGTGTCATGAAAGAAAGAACATTAGAACAATATATTTTAATTAAAGACCAGTTAAAGTAGAAATAAATTGGTTTTTCAGTTCTTTACAGCACATAAAAATATGTTTAATTAATCACCCATCCGATCCCATCCTAAGCAAATAAAATTAGGTCTCAAAGGTAATGAAAACATTTCAGTTTGCTCTGCCCTGAGATGCTGGGGCCATGTCCACTACAACCAATGAAACCCTGCCTAAACGCTGCTCTTTTTCACTGGAGCTGTTTTATAGAAAAAATTCGCTATATATTTTAATTCTCTTTTTTAATTCGGGAGGGAACTGTGGAAGCTTCATGCATGTGCGATTCACATTCATTTGGAAAACACAAGAGTCTCTCTGATTTCTAAAGACACGGGTTGCAGCTCCTGGGTCCATGTCCCTGTGTTTCTAACTTACTGTCAAGGCTGAGACGGGAATTCATACCAGCTGTCCTCCAACATCAGCATGATCTCATCAATTTGACTCTGTTCCAGTTGTAGGGTGAGTGTGAAAGTGAGTGTGATGGATCCTCCCTGTGTTCACGCCCACGCCAAGACATGATGCTGAATCTGCAAACCTTTCTTTCTTTCTTTCTTTCTTTCTTTCTTTCTTTCTTTCTTTCTTTCTTTCTTTCTTTCTTTCTTTCTTTATTTGTCGGGTGGTAAACAGAAACGTTAATGCAGCGACTGTAAACTTTAGAGAAAACTTCTTGTGCTTTTTATGCAAGCAGGGTGCCTTCGGGCGCATTGCTGCCCCCCTCAGGACACTGGCTTTTGTCATATCATAGGCATTATGCTGCCGTGCATTATGAATATGTAAAGCTACGTTAACACCAATAGCAACAGGAGCAGCAAAAACGCTCCTGCTGCATAATTTTTTTTATGCTTGTACAAGTTTAGTTCTGACGTGCAGCTGGAGCAGCGTTGGGTGGAGCTACCCTATCCTTTCTTTGCCTGTAACAATGGCAGCTATAAATGCTGTGATCAGTGCGAATAAAGTAGTTTTAGTATGTTTTTAAGTGAGAAAGTCCCCTGAAAACTTTATCTGTGCAGTCAGTTCATCAAGATTACGATCCTGCATTCAAATATTATTTCTTTGTCGGAGCCGCTCAGATCCCCACATGCAGGTGGTACGCTGTCAGTAGGAATCCAATTCAACAGCAGCCTCTGGCACAGTCATTCAAGTTTGGATTACGTTTTCATGTACATAATCCAAACTTCAGGCACCAGGATAATAAAAGCAAACATGTTTTGCCGGCAGATTTAGGCATTTTAAGTTAATTTAGGCGTTTCAGAGGAGTGATCATAGTGATCTGTATCATCAGTGATGTGTCTCTCTCCCTGCAAGCTCCCAGATCAGCTTCTCTGATTGGTGGATGAGGCGGGTCGAGCAGCAAAAGTTAAATTTTTTTCAACTCGAGCAGCAGCTGTGCACTGCTTCAGCTGCTCAGACGTGCTTTGCCTGCTGCTCAAAACGCGGTGCGGGATGTTTTGCTGCACATTGATGCGCATCAACCATTGACTTTGTATAAAAACTAGCTGCTTCTGCTGCCTTTGCTTGTTTTGGTGTGATCGTAGCATTAGGCCGGCGTCAGACATAAGTTCTGGACTTGTTACGAACCCCTTAATATTTTGCAAAGTTTAAAAAATAAATAGAAAGTACAGTGTGTGCCAGTGTTTTAGAAGATTCTGGGATGCCGACGTTCGCTGGCTGAATCATCAAGGTGTGACAGCGCCATCAGGAACTTAAGGAACAATCATATCTCCAATATAAGATGGAGCTTGGCCATTTAAGGCTTTATATGTGAGAGGGAGTATTTTAAATTCTATTCCGGATTTAACAGGAAGCCAATGAAGAGAAGCTAGGGTAGAGGAAATAAGATCTCTCTTTTTAATTCTCATCAGAACTCTGGCTGCAGCATTTTGGATCAGCTGAAGGCTTTTAACTACAGTTTGTGGATTTCCTGAAAGTAAAGAATTACAAAAGTCCAGCCTTGAAGTAACCAATGCACGGACTAGATTCTCAGCATCACACCTGGCTAGATTATTTCAAATTTTTGCACGATTTCACAGATGACAGAAGGACATTCTAGAAACCTCTTTGACATGGAATTTAAATGGCATGCCCTAAAATAACAGCAAGATATTTCACTTTATTCTCTGAGATCAATTTCATCTCATCCAAATGAAGTGACTGCCAAATCGGCTTATTTTTTAAACACTGGTTCAAATAATATAATTTCTGTTTTGTCTGCATCTGTTTTGTTAGCAGAAAGTTAAGAGTCACCCAGTTATTATGTTTTCAAGACATGGGTGTAGTCTATGAATGGGTTGGTTTCAGATTTGACATAGGTCTATAATTGACCAAGTCATCTGTGTGAAGAGACTGTTTCTTAAAGTATTTAATTACAGCTACCTTAAAAGCCTGAGGTACAATTGAGTTTATGCAATTGCATTAAAAAGATATCTAGGATTATTATTATTTTCCTCTATTAATGAGAAGAAATATGCTGCTCTAGAATTTCTCGGTATGTGAAAATTTATAAAACTAGAGGGAGTTGCCTCATTTATGTTCACATAATATTCTTGCTGCAGCCACATTTCTCTAAAGCAAAATATATCAATGTGAGAATCACGAATCAAGTCAGTCTAACAGTCTAACTACTGTAACAGACTTTTTGAAGAAAAAGATCTCATGTTAAATAAACCACTTGTAATTATCTTAAGTTTTTCTCCTATTGGACTTGTTTTTACTTGAATTCGATTTTCATTATATAATATATTACTCCTTTGTGATACTTTTCTAGATTAGATAGAAAAAGGGTTTAAATAGAATAGATTATTTGATTTTGGTAATGGACAAGACACCGTCTGGATGGAGTAATGAGTTGTAACCGTAAAGAAGCTGCATAGAGGTTTGTTAAACTACGACTCTGCTTCCTGTTCTGCAACCTGGATGCATGCCTCAATCATCATCACTGTGGACCCACATCAGTTCGCCTACAGGAGGAATTGATTCACTGCCAAGGTTATCTCATTGGTGGTCCACACAACCATCATCCACCCGCCTTATTGCAGTGCCAAAGAACACTCAGTCAACAGTCCTCAATTACTGTAGTCCTGCTACGCTTGACATCCCTAATCATGGAGGTCCTAGATATACTCCTTTTGATCCACTTAAACAAAAAAACAAGCAACTATGAGGACCCCCTGCAGTTTTCTTATCAGTCTGGAGCACGAATTGAAGATGCCATCATACACCTTCTTCAACATGCCTACTGTCATTTAGACAATGCAGGCAGCACTGTGGATCACATTCTTTGATATGTTCAGTCTATTTAAAACCATTCAGCTGGAATTACTTTGTCAGAAACTCTAGAAGACCCGGGCTTAGTAACTTTCTGGATCAAAGAAAATATCTTAATAAATCCTCATCAAAGGACTTTTGAACACTAACAGTGTATGTAGTCAAACACATTCAGATCTGGTGCAAGACTGACTGCTCTGAAGATCATGCCTGTCTACAACTATCAACATACATTACCTGGCAAAAAAAAGTCACCACCTGGATTCAGCTAAACAAATAGGTATGAGCCTCATATTGGAAAACCACTGATCAGTGAGGCTAACTGGAAAAAAGGCTTCAATTTGCTATGGAGCATAAAGATTGGACTGTGGTGCAATGGAAGACGGTCATGTTGTCTGATGAGTCCAGATTTTCCCTGTTCCAGAGTGATGGGCGAATCAGGGTAAGAAGAGAGGCAGGTGAAGTGATGCACCCACCATGCCTAGTGCCCACTGTACAAGCCTGTGGGGGCGGTGTTATGATCTGGGGTTGCTGCAGTTGGTCAGGTCTAGGTTCAGGAACAGTATGTGCTCAAAGAATGAGGTCAACTGACTACCTGAATATACTGAATGGCCAGATTATTCAATAAATTGACTTTTTCTTCCCTGATGGCAAAGGCATATTCCAAGAGGACAATGCCCGGATTCATCGGGCTCAAATTGTGAAAGACTGGTTCAGGGAGCATGACACGTCATTTTCACACATGGATTGGCCACCACAGAGTCCAGACCTCAACCCCATTGAGAATCTTTGGGAAGTGCTAGAGAGGGCTTTGCGCAGTGGTCAGACTCTACCATCATCAATGCAAGATCTTGGTGAAAAATTAATGCAACACTGGATGGAAATAAATCTTTTGACATTGCAGAAGCTAATTGAAACAACGCCACAGCGACTGTGTGCCGTGATCAAAGCTAAAGGCAGTCCAATAAAGTATTAGAGTGAGTGACCTTTTTATTTGGTGGCGACTTTTTTTTGCCAGGCAGTGCATAAAACAACTCAGAGAGTGAAACAATAAGTTGCAAAATGTAGTATCCCTTTGGGATTAATAAAGTATTTTTGACTGAATTAAATTGAATGATTTAACAAATTGGTGCTCACTAATATTTAAAGTAGTTAAAGGCATATACCCTTAGAATAGGGGCATTGTGAACAATTGTAAAATAGAGTTCAAAATTTTTAAAATCTGAAGAGAAAAATAATAAATTTTCAACATTTTATTTAAAAAAGAAAGATTAAGAAAATACATTACAGCAAGAATATTAGCTGAAAAAAATATTTAAGTGGAAGTAGAGTATTTTTTATCCAGATTGATAGAAAGATAACTAACCTCAGGATCTTCAGTTTACAGACCGTACTCTCCAGTATTTCACATAGATGCTTCATTCCAGAGTCTCCAAAGCTTCTCCCTCCATGGATCACTTCTATTTCTAGGTCAGTAATATTAGAAGGGTTGGACTTCAGAGCTGAGGCCACAACTTCACATTCAGTCTGTGAGAGTTCACATCCAACAAGTCTGTCAATACAAAAACAGTGGTTAGTGTGGAAGCTCATTGGTAGAATTCCCCTATGACAGAAACAAGGCCACGATTCACATCATTTTATCATCCGGAGGGGGGAAACATTTAATTACAAAACCGAATTCATACAGCTGTCTTAAACACTTCATACATTCAGCACTGCATCTTCACATGTCAGTTATTCCCCCACCTTAAGTCCATTTAAGCTGTATTTACACATCGCACTGTGTGGATGCACATTCACGACTGGACGCTCTTCCTGGAAATCTCTTAGCTTAGATAGATAGATAGATAGATAGATAGATAGATAGATAGATAGATAGATAGATAGATAGATAGATAGATAGATAGATAGATAGATAG